TTTTTAAACATGCTTTATGGCCACAAATTAGCTCCATAGTCTGAGTCACTTAACGAATGTGATAAATCTGGGTGTTAACAGAGATGTGGAACAAAAAGAGATGAGGTGCAACATTGATCAGCAGAAATAAAAAGCATAATGTTTATTTTTTAAGATCTCAGGAGCATCTGCACTGTTCTTTGAGGTCAGGAGGACAGGAAATTAAACACCCAGATAGAACCTCTTTGACATGATTGTCAAAATAATCCATTTTCCAACCTTTCCAGAACTGTCAGATAAGCACCGGTGACACGTCCGGTCTTAATGGCCTCTTAACACCGGTTGACCTCTCCGTCTTGCTGACAAGCCACATATTTTTCTGTTAGTTCAGTTTTGTCTTCATGCAATTAATTCATCATTCTTGCAGGTTCTTTTCTTTTTATGTCAGAGAGCAGAATTAGCTGTTTTAGCCTCTTTGTGCTTCGTGGCGTGGACGCAGAATTCAGTCTTCAGCTGAATGTCGGCGCTTCCACCGAGGCTTTGCTTCTGTTGTTTCCTGAATCCAGGTCTATCTCCTCGGCTTTAGCCTGGATTAGAGAATGTTTGCTCAAGACACAGCGTGGAGTGTGTGAAGCTTTGCTCCTGTCCTTGTTCTAAACACACACACACACACACACGGGTATAACGGACAACCTGTGTACACCTGACTTTAGACATTTTTTTAAATTAAGTCTTTATTGGGTTTTTATTGCGTCACAAAACATAAAAACTCCCACAGAGCCATAAACAAAAACAAATATTTTATGAGGAAGCAGAAAAAATAAGAGAGATTGGATTTTCACAATAAAAGCAGTGCTTAAAGACGTCTGAAACATGTTGAAGAATGAACTGTTAAAGGTAAAACAAGCAGAACTTATGCGTTTTATTTTGAAAATATGTGGTAAGTAAAGTCAGATAAATCAAAAAGTTACAAAATCAAAATTCATTTATTTCTTTTTCCAGAAATGTGATGAAAATCTGTTTACATCCCCTCACTGTGTTTTCATGGCGTTTGGAGGATCGACTGAGAAAACAGAAGCTAAAATCAGCTGAAAGCTAAACCCTAGCTAAAAGCTGTAATCAACAAAACAGAAGCTAAAAGCTGAAATAAGCTAAATCATAGTGAAACAGGTGATAAAACCTCAAATTAAAAGAAAATAAACAAGAGCTGAAATTCACAAAACTGTAGCGTTAGCAAAAATTAGCTGAATTGTTTCTAAAAGCTAGCGAAGGCATAGCTACGTTTAGCAAGACCATAGCTAAAAACTACTGTAGCCAAAAGCTAAATTGAGGAATACACTAGCTAAAAGGTAAGGGGAGCCTAAGAAGACACAACTAAAGCAGGTTTGCTGACGCAGATTGTAGAGAACAGTATTTTTAAAGGACCTGATGAGATATTGATGTCTTTTATTTTGAAAATATTTGGTAAGTAAAGTCAGATAAACCAAAGTTACTAAAATCAAAATTCATTTATTTCTTTTTCCAGAAATGTGATGAAAATCTGTTTACATCCCCTCACTGTGTTTTCATGGCGTTTGGAGGATTGACTGAAAAAACAGAAACAAAAATCAGCTGAAAGCTAAATGTACAAAACCCTAGCTAAAAGCTGTAATTAACAAAACAGTAGCTAAACTCTGAAATTAGCAAAAAAATTGCTAAAATAAAAACATAGCAAAACTGGAGATAAAAGCTAAAACTAAAAAAACTGCAAAAGAAAAACTCAGCCTAATTGGTGCAGAGTCATAGCTAAAAGCTATATTTAACAAGACAGCAAATAAAAGCTGCTGTAGCTGAAAGCTAAATGTACCAAAATCACATGTAAAAGCTGCAATTAGAAAACAGTAGCTAATAGCTCAAATTAGTCAAATCATAGTTAAAAGCAACAATTAGCAAAATTGCTAAAAGCTTGCACAATCATAGTTAAAAGCTATAGTAGCTAAAAGCTAAAGGCAGCATAAGAAAGCACAAATAAAGCAGATTTTATAGAACAACGATTTTAAATGAATTATTGGATCTTAATTTTTTTTTTTTGTTAGAATTGTTTGGTAAATAAAGTTAAATCAATTAAAATGTCTAAATTTTACTAAAACCAAAGCGGTCATTAGTTTTCCTGATAAACTGCCGAACATCAGGGGATCAGCAGAACCTTTTTTCAGAGCTTGACTCATCTGAACTCATCGTCTGTTTGACCCGTCGCTCTTCACACAACCTGTCATTGAACTAATGGATGTTTAGTCCGTAATCTCCGGGCCCCGCCCCCCCCATATTCATTTAGAATTTTATACAAATCTCCTTTTATCAACAGCTCATGCAAATTGCTCGTCCAGTTCATCTACTAATCCAGTCCATCAGCCATACCTCCTTAATCTCATCTAGGGTCATGGTCGGGTTGGGCCCAGACTGGCTGGGTTTGACGGACAGGCGGGTCGGATCCTGGTCCAACCGTCTGCACGTTACAGAGGCAGAGAACCACACGTTTCAAACAAAAAAAACTGAAACAGCAGAAGCACAGAAACGTCACATCAACCAGCAGGTTAAAGCCACGCCCACTTCTTGCTGCAGTGTCAGCGTGTCACCCACTTCAGCCGGGTGCCACCCTGAGTTGTGATCGCCAAGAGGGCAGAAATACTCCAAACCAAAAGGACGTCATGAGGGCCCTGAGGTGCTCTGATCCACACAGAAAACCTACAAAATAAAAGCATGAATAAACGTCAGCACAACGATTATTTCTGCATCTGATAAACTGTGATAAATGCACCGGTGCAGGARCATGTCACACTTCATGAATTAAAGATATCAGTTCATCATTAATGCTGAGCTATAGTGAAAACATTGTTGCAGAGTGTGTTTTATAAACCTGCACAGGTTTCTGTGAAGGATTTGGGTCATAGTTTTCATCCCAGGTCTCTAAAAATAAAATGAAGCTCCCAGGTTCTGATCCAAGTTATGACATCTCTCACTAATGATTGTCACAAAACCTTTACTGTGAAGTCAATTCAGTTTTAAAAAAATAATGTTCTGCTGATCCGAGGTCAGAATATTTCTGAAACGAAGATTTAAAATTTTAATTTTAACAAATAAAAAACTGTGAATGCTGAGTTGCTGAAGAAGCTGAAACTTACAGATTGAAGCAGAAAGGAGAACACTAGCTCAAAGCTAAACAGCTAAATGTTAGATAAAGGTAGCAAGACACTAGCTTAAATTCAAATATAGTCAATGACTAGCTACCAGCTAAAAGTAGAAAAAAGTTAGCTAAAAGGTATAAGGTAGGAAGAGACTGGTAACAAATGGCTAGGTAGAAGCTAAAAGTAACTATTGGCTGGCTAGAAGCTTAAAGTAGCAAAAATCTAACTAAAAGCTAAATGTAGCAAATGGCTACATATAAACTAAAAGTGAAAAAAGGCTAGTAAAAGCTAAAGATAATAATAGGCTAGATTAAAGCTAAATATAACAAAAGGCTAGATATAAGCTGAAAGTGGCTAATGTTTGATAAAAGCTAAAGGTAGCAAATCACTACATAGAATATAAAAGTCACAATAGACTAGCTTAAAGTAACTATTGGTTGGCTAGATGCTTAAAGTAGCAAAAGGCTAGCTAAAAACTAAAGGTGGTGGTGAGCTACCACCTGTAAATAACAAAAACTAGCTAAAAGCTAAAGGTGGTGGTGAGCTACCACCTGTAAATTACAAAAACTAGCTAAAAGCTAAAGGTGGTAGTGAGCAACCACCTGTAAATAACAAAAACTAGCTAAAAGCTAAAGGTGGTAGTGAGCCACCACCTGTAAATAACAAAAACTWGCTAAAAGCTAAAGGTGRTAGTGAGCYACCACCTGTAAATAACAAAAACTAGCTAAAAGCTAAAGGTGRTAGTGAGCMACCACCTGTAAATAACAAAAACTWGCTAAAAGCTAAAGGTGATAGTGAGCCACCACCTGTAAATAACAAAAACTAGCTAAAAGCTAAAGGTGATAGTGAGCCACCACCTGTAAATAACAAAAACTAGCTAAAAGCTAAAGGTAGCAAATGGCTGGTTTAAAGCCAAAAGTAGATAAGGCTAGAGAGATGCTAACAATGACTACAACTGCTAGAATATGAAAATAGCAAAAGGCTAACTAAAAGCTAAAGTTAGCGAATGACAAGCTACCGCCTAAAAATAGCAATAAATAAATAAACTAGTTTAAAGCTGCAGGTAGCAAAAGGCTGGCTAAAATCTAAAAGTAGAAAAAGCTAGTTTGACTCCAAAAATAAATACAATGGCCATAATTTAAAAATAGCAAAAAGCTAATTAAAAAGCTAAAGGTAGCAAACAGCTAACTACCACCTAAAAATAGCAATAAATAAATAAAACTAGCTTAAAGCTGGTGGTAGCAAAAGCCTGACTAAAATCTAAAAGTAGAAAAAGCTAGTTAAAAGCTAAAAATAACCACTGCTTGAATCTAAAAACGACAAAAGGCTAGCTAAAAGTAGCAGAATGGTAGCTAAAGCTTAAAGAATAATTGTAACTATTTTTAATGCATCTTTTTGCTGTTTTTCCTCCAGAGCACCAAAACTATTTCGGTTTCGACGACAATCTGGGTCCTGTGGCCGTGAGCATCCGCAGGGAGAAACTGGACGAGGGGAAGGAGAAAGAGGGGATGCAGTACAACTACCGGATCACCTTCAGAACCAGCCAGGTAACTGATTACTAACCCGTTTCAACACTCGGCCCGTTTTAAACCGATACGAGCCGAAACAGCTGCAGTCACAGAACTGAACTGGAGTCCAAGAGAGCGTGACAAAAACAGTGCAGCTGTGACGAGGCAGAACCTCTGAAGATAACCTCTTCTAGTAGCTCAAAGGCTTTTATTTATTTATTTACTTTTGAGCAAGTAGAGCGTCTCTGTTTTCTGTTTCACATATTGTTGGTATTTTAAGGTCATTCAGCTCAGTGCTCAGGCAGGCAGGAGAAGTAAATTTGCTCGGAGCCCCTCAGCGTGTCCAAACGTTCCGGTCAGTCAATCAGACACTGAAACTGTCTTTCAGAGTCGCTGTGATCGTCGCTCTCTCTCTCTCTCTCTCACACACACACACACACACACACCCTCACAACATGATTAATCTAAAAACTGAGCTGCTTTGCCTGAGTGTCCCTGGTGGACTGAGAGCTTTCCCTGATTGATGCTGGTTGGTCTCATCCTCTGAATAATTCAGGTGCAACAGACGAGTCAGGCAGCCAAATGTCACTGATATCCACCATTCTTGCTTTGAAGMCCCGCCCCCTCTTATGATAAAACAACATATCTGGGTCACGGTGGCCACGCACGCAGCACGCAGACAGTGCTTTCAACTTCCCGACCACTGCTGTGTCTGTTTGTGTTAATTCCTCTCATTTAGCCTCGGTGCCCTCTCCGCTCCTTCCTCCTCCTCCTCCTCCTCCTCCTCCTCCTCCTCACTAAGTTTGTTAAGTAATCTGATTTTCAGACAGCCTCTCTGTCAGATGGCCATTGACTGCTGATGCTCGTGTCCAAACGCTGAGTGGACGGAAATGGGATTTATGGATGTAAACACGGGCTTACAGAGTGGCCACATTAATGGGTTCAATGAACACAAGTCACTTCACATACACAGTTCAGTTAGCCCGTGTGAGTTATTTAAAATTTGACTTCCTAATGTGGTCCGGATGCATCGTAATGGAGCGCTAACCCAAGCGTTGTTTGTAATAAATGCATATTTCCTGTGTCTTTAGGATCATTTTAAGATGAGACATGCTTTATCTGAAAATAAAAACTTGATTATTTCAGTTGACCACCCTTCGAGGAGCCATCCTGGAGGACGCCATTCCGTCCACGGCGAGACACGGGACGGCCCGTGGGCTGCCGCTGAAGGAGGTGCTGGAATACGTCATCCCTGAGCTGAACATCCAGTGTCTGAGGCTGGCCATCAACTCCCCCAAAGTCCCAGAGCAGCTCCTGAAACTGGACGAGCAGGGGGTGAGTACTCTGACGCCAGCAGCACCGGTCTGGGCTCAAACTCCCTGTTAGCTGGAACCGTTTGATGTTTTCTGTCCCGACAACAACTCTGTGTGGATTTATGCAATTGTTCGTCCCTAAACTTTCATCTTAGCATCGTCATCACAGCATGCGTCTGCAGTCGTCACCCTGCAGGTTCAACCATGAAGGAGGCAAATTAACGGGTTGCTTCTGCCGGCCGAAGAGGGAGGCTTTGTGTAAAAAAAAGCTAAAACTTTCATTTTGTTGGGAAACCTTTGGAATAAAAGTGGCAACTGTTTTTGAAAAGTGGTAAAAGTGGCAAAGGGCTAGCTAAAAGTTAAAGGTAGCAAATTGCTAGATAGAAGCTATAGGTGGCAACAGGCTAGCTTAAAGTAAAAAATGATAGAAGTCGAAAACTAAGTGTAACTATTGGCTGGGTAGAAGCTTAGAGTAGCAAAAGCTAGCTGAAAGCTAAAAGTAGAAAATTGCTAGATAAAAGCTAAAAGTAGCAATGGGCTAGCTAAAAGTTAAAGGTAGTAAATGGCTAGAAAGAAGCTAAAAATGGGGAAAAAAAAGCTATAGTAAAAGTTTATAGTTAGTAGCTAAACATGACAATTGACTGGCTAAAAGCTTAGAGTAGCAAAAGCTAGCTCAAAGCTAAAGGTAGCAAATGGCTAGATAGAAGCTAAAAGTGGCAAAACCCTAGCTAAATGTTAATGAGCATATTTAGATGCTAAAAGTTACTATTGGCTGCCAAAAAGTTGTAAAGTCTAGCTTAAAGCAAAAAAGGATAGTTAGAAGATAAAAGTAACTATTGGCTGGCTAAAAGCTAAAAGTGGCAAAAGGCTAGTTAAACATTAAGGTAGCAACTGTCTAGATAGAAGCTAAACATGGCAAAAGGCTAGCTTAAAGTAAAAAATGATAAAAGCTGAACGTAATTATTAGCTGGCTAGAAAGTGAGAGTAGCAAAAGCTAGCTGAAAGCTAAAAGTAGCAAAGGACTAGCTAAAAGTTAAAGGTAGTAAATGGCTAGAAAGAAGCTAAAAATGGCAAAAAGCTATAGTAAAAGTTTATAGTTAGTAGCTAAACATAACTATTGACTGGCTAAAAGTTTAGAGTAGCAAAAGCTAGCTCAAAGCTAAAGGTAGCAAATGGCTAGTTAGAAGCTAAATGTGGTAAAAGGCTAGCTTAAAGTAAAAAAAATTATAGTTAGAAGCTGAACATAACTGTTAGCTGGCTAAAAGCTTAGGGTAGATAAAGTTAGCTGAAAACTAAAGGTTGAAAATGGCTAGACAGAAGCTAAAAGTAGCTAAAGGGTAGCTAAAAGCACCCTCTTTTAAGGAATTTTTCGTTTTTACTTACGAGTATTTGTTTCTTACGTACTTTATATATCTTTGAGAATAACTCAAATACAGTCTAAACACACGAGTGTAAAACACACAAACAGGTCAGATCTCTGCAGGTTCTTCGTCAACACGATGGCAGCAGAACTTAAAGTTTTATTCGAGTCATTTGTAGAAAATTCTCTTATTTAATGTCACAGGGTCATAAAAAAACAGTGAGTTTTTTCCAGGTCTGGGTGTTTGGACCAATATTCAAAAAAATCTCGTCACTGTTTTTTGTAACAAGCAGACATAAAGAAGCCGCGGCTTCTGTGTCGTTTTCAGTTTAAACACAGGCTCTCAGACGAGTTAAGGAGCTCGACTTGTTTTATTTATCAAATCAGTGAAGGGCTGCGGCAGTTCCTTCTCGTTCCCCGCGGAGCTCGTGTCCATCACGTCTGACTTTGTACCAAAGGCACCGCGGGTGAAAAGGCTCCATACGGTGGCACGGCTGCATCAGATGGTTGCTTTTTTTCTTCTTCTTAAATGTCATTTTTCACCGCTGCATCATGGGTAATGAAGCGGTGTCCAGTTATGATTCCTCACTGAACTGAACAAGAGAAACGTCTCCTGTGACTCTCAGAAAACTGTCCTCTAAAATGTCAAACTACTTCGTAGAGACGTACAGTTGTGTTTTTGTATCTGGTTATTAGTTTGTGAATTAAAACAGTGATGGATAACCTAAATTCTAATGTACAGGTAAATAATATTTAAGGCTTTAGAACATTTATTTCAGACATTTATTGTAGAAAAAAGCTTATTTTTTCTGTGCTTCATAATAAAAATGACCAGTGTTTGTGTAGCTGAAGTATAGCCGTGTTGTTGTTTCTAGATGGAGATTGACATCTTGAGGTTTTTTTTTTCCATAATAAAATTGCAAATAATTGTGATTTATTGCGTGAACACAAGACCTTTAATTGGCCTTCCAGTGGAATTAAAATTTTCAGTGGGAGTTGGTGGATTAGCCGGTGGTCAAATAATAATAATCAGAAAATAGACTGCTTATTAGTTTAATTACACTTGTTAACATTTGCTCGTCTTTCCAGTTGACAATGGAAAAACCTCCTCAGACACGTTTTTTTTCTTTCATAATAAAGTATTATGTTTGTTCATGTGGCATCTCTAATTATAAGAGAGCGACTGAGCAGCTCGACCCCTCCACAGAACCAGAACCAGGCTCTGWTCGGGCTCAGCGTGTCCCTGGATCGTGGCTTTGGGACACAGAAGTGTTAAATATCTTCCCGGGTATAAAACGGACTGAGTTAGGGTGTCCCAGAGAGAGACAATGTTTGCAGTCTCCTCGGGATCAGCGCTGCAGAAAGACCTCTTAAAGTTGGTTTATGGCCTCGCTGTAATGACCATGGATGTAAGAAGAGAACAGAACATATGTGGCTGTATTTCACATCGTAATGACAGAACACACAGATGGACCGGGAGGGAAAATACACCAGGCTGTTAAAATTAAATGTGGCTTAAAGTGAATGAAATCACAAATGTGTTTCTGTTATTTGTTATAAACGGTTAAAAAAAGGAGCCTTGAGCGGTTTATGAATCAGACCTTTAATTCAAGCTTAAACATGATTCGTTCCACCGTTTCAAGAGAGCAATCCACCGCCTGCTGAGTTTGTTAGTGCAGCGCTAAAAAGACACTTCTTATAAATGTAAATAAGATGTTTGGTGTGGGCCGGGTCACAGCAACAAGCCACTGAAGGTAGTCCAGATATCAAGTTCATTCCTTAAATCTCAGGTCYAAAAATCCACAACTTCTGTCTTGTTTCAGTTTAGAAGCAAAAAAAATTAAGAGTAATCCATGTTTTATGTCTTTAAGACATGCTTGTAATCTAAGTCAGGGGTTCCCAACCTGGAGGGGTACCGAGGGGCATAACCTTGTCTGCTTAGAGGTTTTGAAAATGTCCATTTATGGTTTGTATATAAAGATCAAAACAAGTCCATTTAAATAATTAAAACTCTGTATAAAAGTTTGTAATCATTATTAAATTATTATGCATCTTTGGTAGAGGTGGGGTGCTGTCTGGACCCCCTCCATTCCACTAAGGGRCACTATAAGTTGTAGACTTTTGTTCTAAAGGACTTTAAGTGAAACCAGAAGTGGCTTTAAAAGAAGCAAATCTAAGAAAACTTGTACGTTTACAGTTAAATAAATTGTCAAACATGTTATGTTATTTGTTATTGCAAAATTAAACTTTTGTGTAACTGTAGTTTAATGTTTGTGTTTTAAACTATCGAGAAAATGTGTTTTTCCTGTATGAGTGTTCTAAAAGATTAGCATTACGCTAGCAGTTTTCTATGGTGTTTAGACTGTATATTAGCAGCTAATTAGCATGATGCTAACACTTGTTTCTTGCACAGTATGGATTAATATTGATATGTTATCGATTGTGGTGTTTACATTGYAATATTTGCTGATATAGATTCAGCACAGCTTTAGTTGTGATTTGTTTTACATAAGATACTGTGATATGGGGGGGTGGAAGTAAGAAAGGCGGGATTTGAAGAAGATATGTTGGGAACCACTGATCTAARTAATGGATTGATTTCATCAGGTTTTATGGAGAAATATAACCGACTATCATCAGCATAGCAAAAATGCTGGGTTTGATTATGATTACAGTTTTCTGCTAAATAAATGCTCTAAAAATTACATTATCTTTGCTTTTTATGATAATTTTCTACCGCGATATATACCATTACCGTGAAGGGATTAAATTCAAACCCTGATATGAATTTGAGGTCATACCGCCTAGCCCTACTTCCAAACTTCCTCTGGTTACCTGTTTTATGATTATAATAAAAAAATTAAAAAAAACAGAGTCAGTGACGAGCCTTGTCTGTGCTGTGGGAAACAGAAAGCTGCAGTGCCATGACTAGAAATAGATGTTTGTGTAATGGTATAATGGTGCTGGAGTGTCGGGGCCATGCTTGGGGAGCTGTTTTGTGTTACATCACCACAGTGTACACAGATGTCACAGCCGAACCGCGTGTTGTTCTTCAGTACACTGCCGGACCCCTCAGGTGCTTCTGAGTGCTCTCCAGGGGCCACGCTGCCCTCGTTTCTCCGTCCACTCGTGAAGTCTGGAGTGTTTGTGCRCCTCTGTCTTCCTCTAAGAGGGTCTGCTTGGTCTAAGATGAGTCTAAAGCACAAAATGAAAAGCTCTGAATTCTTCCTGTCACTGCCGAACAATCAGGAAAACACCAACGGATAGACGGTTTCTTTCAGAAGCTGCCTGACAAAAGAGACGTTAAATCTTTAAACAAAGAGGCTCAACTTGAATCCCAGAGTTTGTCTCTTTTCAAGCAGCAGCACGTCGGCACCAAAGGGCCTGCAGGGTTGTCCTTGCCGTTGGCCGGTCTGTTAAGAGGAGCAGGAGGTCAAGTAAATCCATGTAATTATAGAGGGAAAAAACGCGAGGAGCTCATCACTGTGCATCATGCCAATTCCACTGGGCTGGAAGTTATAATAGCTKTCCATCATCGCAGCAGCGTGGATACAGAGCAGACGGGCCCGACAAAGGCGTCGCCATGACAACCATGTCGGGGGCACACTGAGAACTGATAACCTGTAACAGGGAAAAGGACAGTTCCAATTTGTTGTGCTTTATAGACCTTTCATTGGCTATCACACCGAGGAGAAAACCTGATTTTTTTTAGCAGATTGACATTTTATTCACAACTTTGAGCTTTAGGCTCCTGACCTGAGGCGTTTTTTTTATTTTTATTTTCTGCCACCTAAAGGACAAAAGGCAGGCAATAATCTGTGTGCGTCACCAAAACGTTAGCATCATGCTAAACTGGCTGGATTTTTATTCAACTTTCCGGAAACTGTAGCTGCGTTTCCATTGACCATGAAAATGCGCAAATTAGAATTTTGAAAATAAATTTGCTCAATGGAAACACGTCAATTTAGAAAAAAAAAACATCCTTTTTTCGACAAAATGTTTTAGCGCTAGGATGAGGTGGATTTTCGGCCGTATCAAAATTGGTGTTTTCTGTAAAACTGCAATGGAAACACTTTTTTCACATCACGGGAGTCACGTGATCAACAACCGGCTATTTCTACTGGTGAAAAAGACGACCACGAAGAAGACAACAGGAAGTAGAAGTAATAGTAAAATCACAGAAGTAGTAAAAGAAAGTAGTAAACTCACTGACTACAATTTACCAAAAACACAGCTGACGTAGCCACTACCAAGTATAAGGGGCTTGTCACTGGAAAGCCTCGATAAGACGCCGACGTCTCCTCTGATGATGAGCGCTAGTGTCGTGGTAGCAATATGTGTTTACATCCGTTGTCGCCATGTTTGTAATGACTTGGCGTGAGAACAAACGTATTCACGCGGGATTTTAAAAGCATTTCTTACTTAATGGAAACACYGCAATTGCGAAACTGTGTTCTTCGACATCAACAGAATATCGACTAAGTTTTGCGCACATTTGCGATAGAAACACAGCTGCTTACTTTTGAAGCCAGTCCARTAGCGTTGGTCGTAGTTACTAAAAATAGCTCCCTACGTAACGTGACGTCAGCAAGTCCCCGTATATCAAACAAGGAACTGCAGCGAGTGCAGTGCAGCAGTCGTGGTTTGCATCGACAACAAAGAACGTCAGAACGGTGTCGATAAAGCGTTGTTGTGACGGGACTTGCAATAGAGATACCCGATATGCCGAAAAACCTCGCATGCAAGGCGTTTGGTTTTTGCCGTTTCCAAAACTGATCACTCAGAGGGAGAGAAATGTGATCTTTGTGGTCGAGTTGGCTTCGACCGGAAGAATGTGAGGAGGGGTACCTACATCTGCTCCAAACACTTTGTTGGAGGAAATGGACCGACAAAGGAGCCCGCATCTCTGTTGGCGCTTTACTTCTACTTCCTGGTCATGCAGGTATTTAAATAAATGATAATGGTGTTGAACACCATGGTATTTTTACTATAAGTAAATGTATTTTTCTCTATCTTGAACTGATTCAAACACCGCTACTTGTGACGTCACAAGTCGCACTCCAGCCCACCCCAACCTGAGCCCAGCCCGTTTCCATTTAACCCAAGCAGAGACTCCGCCCACTTCTTCACAGGACGGTTCTGCTGTTTTAGAGCCGTCATGGAGAACAGAGACGTGTGGCTTAATTTTATTTTAATTTTACTTTATTTTTATTTTTATGGCAATGTTCTAGCAATATTAAAGAAARTTTGTGTAAATAATTTCACCATGAACTACTTTGGAAAAATAGTACTTTCAACTGAAAGGAAACTGAAATTAAACTTCTGGAGGAGGGCGGAGCTAATGTAAACAAAAGGTTGGAGTTCTGAAGAGAGCTGAAKAACAGGCGGAAATTAAATGGTGAGCGTTCATTATCTGAAATTAATTTAGTGAATTAAATCAAATGAACAGGTTTTGTATAGCCCACAGATGGATCCTAACTTGTTCTAGGAGCCCCATATTAGGTCACATTTAACACATTGCAAGAARGATGATCGTATTTTGTCTTAAATATTAAAATAATTGGTAACATTTATTTTTTAAAATAATTTATGGATTTATACCCCGCCCCTCACACAGTGACTGCTGGATGTGGGCACCAGTGACCCTCATGACCCTGAAAGGAAGAAAGAAGGTGGATAATTTACAGAATGCCTCTCACAGCTCGGTGTTTTGTGTTAAAATAAACATTTGGGTAAAACTGTCAATAACAAGTTTCACAATAAGTGAAGTTGGTCTTAAATTTCATGTTAAGTGGCATTAAAAAGTCTTAAAGTCTTAAATTTAACCTGCGTTAAGCTGTAGGAACCCTGTTAGAGATATCTATAACTATTATTGACAAGTCAAAATATAATTAGAGATATTTTATTAACTAATATGTCTGGTCATAAACCAATTTCAGATATGTGGAATGTAAGTGTGGTGAATCTGATTTTATGTTAAAATGGCCTGCCATACATGTGACAGTAATTCAGTTATATGACCTGGTATTTTCAAAGTTACACTGAAACGGCCACAACTTTTTAATTTCTCAAGATAAGATGAAACATAAAAAGTTTTTTTTTCTATTTCTTTGCTATAGTTCGGTGCTAAAACAAACTCGTTTAGCTCAAAGTTTTAGCTTCTAATGAAGATAATTTATGAAGTTTTCTATCATGAACTGGTGTTTTTTTTCTGTGTTTAATTCCCCTCCCTTGTTGCTCCACAGCTGCTCTAAATAGCAGCTAATCACATGATTTATTCTCTGTTTGGAGCTCCTGAGGAAACGCAGCCCGACTTTAGGAAAACGGGGATTTCGGGCCTCTCCTGGAAGGTTCATAGCTGCGACGTGATGGAAAGCTCGCCGTCAGTGACAGGAAGTGATGCTCAGCGGGTGTCTGTGTGTGTCTCCTCCCTCCAGCTGAGCTTCCAGCACAAGGTGGGGGTGCTTTACTGTAAGACGGGCCAGAGCACGGAGGAGGAAATGTACAACAATGAAAGTGGCGGTCCGGCGCTGGAGGAGTTCTTGGATCTGCTCGGTCAGAGGGTGCGGCTCAAAGGCTTCACCAAATACAGAGCTCAGCTGGATAACAAAAGTAAGCCGAAGCACACAAACCTGAACACACCTCTAATCCTGCACCTCTTCTGCGCTTAACGCTGCTTTTACTGTGGCTTGTTCAGCCCGTATCTTGTTAATCTGTGTTTGATTAATCCAGCAGATTATTTGACATAATGACCTTCTGTAATGAGGCTGTGACCTCGTGTGGCTCTGCTCTCTTRCAGCCGACTCTACAGGAACTCACTCTCTGTACACCACCTACAAGGACTACGAGCTGATGTTCCACGTGTCCACCATGCTGCCCTACACGCCCAACAACCGACAGCAGGTCAGCCGAGCGCCTCGTAGCCCTGCCCCCCAGCAGCGGACCACCTCGCGTCCTGTAGTCGTTTTCACCACGCTGGTTTAGAACATGAGCGCTGCCATGGTGACGGTGGCAGGATTTTAATCATCGTGTCGTCCCGCAGGACGGACCAGCCGTGATATTAGACAAAGCTTTGTGTCTGTTTGAGTTTCAGCCRTTTAATRARGAAGTTCTTTGTTAATCTGAAGAAAAAGACCCTGACCCTCCGGTTTCTGTTCAAACATTGTCTGAGTGCAGAACAGGAGCTAAAAGAGCTGAACAGAAGCTAAAAGAGCTGAACAGGAGCTAAAAGGAGCAGAACAGAAGCTAAAAGAGCTGAACAGAAGCTAAAAGGAGCTGAACAGGAGCTAAAAGGAGCAGAGCAGAAGCTAAAAGAGCTGAACAGAAGCTAAAAGAGCTGAACAGGAGCTAAAAGGAGCAGAACAGAAGCTAAAAGGAGCAGAACAGGAGCTAAAAGGAGCTGAACAGGAGCTAAAAGAGCTGAACAGAAGCTAAAAGGAGCTGAACAGGAGCTAAAAGGAGCAGAGCAGGCGCTAAAAGGAGCAGAACAGGAGTTAAAAGGAGCTGAACAGGAGCTAAAAGGAGCAGAACAGGAGCTAAAAGGAGCAGAGCAGGAGTTAAAAGGAGCAGAACAGGAGCTAAAAGGAGCAGAACAGGAGCTAAAAGGAGCTGAACAGGAGCTAAAAGGAGCAGAGCAGGCCCTAAAAGGAGCTGAACAGGAGCTGAAAGGAGCAGAGCAGGAGCTAAAAGGAGCTGAACAGGAGCTAAAAGGAGCAGAGCAGGAGCTAAAAGGAGCAGAACAGGAGCTAAAAGGAGCAGAGCAGGCGCTAAAAGGAGCTGAACAGGAGCTAAATGGAGCAGAGCAGGAGCTAAAAGGAGCAGAACAGAAGCTAAAAGAGCTGAACTGAAGCTAAAAGGAGCTAAACAGGAGCTAAAGGAGCTAAACAGAAGCTAAAAGGAGCTGAACTGAAACTAAAAGAGCTGAACGGAAGCTAAAAGAAGCTAAACAGAAGCTAAAAGGAGCAGAACAGAAGCTAAAAGGAGCAGAACAGAAGCTAAAAGGAGCTGAACAGAAGCTAAAAGGAGCTGAACAGAAGCTAAAAGGAGCAGAACAGAAGCTAAAAGGAGCTGAACAGAAGCTAAAAGGAGCTGAACTGAAACTAAAAGAGCTGAACGGAAGCTAAAAGAAGCTAAACAGAAGCTAAAAGGAGCTAAACAGGAGCTTAAAGGAGCTGAACAGAAGCTAAAAGGAGCTGAACAGAAGCTAAAAGGAGCTGAACAGAAGCTAAAAGGAGCAGAACAGGAGCTTAAAGGAGCTAAACAGGAGCTTAAAGGAGCTGAACAGAAGCTAAAAGGAGCTGAACAGAAGCTAAAAGGAGCTGAACAGAAGCTAAAAGAGCTGAACCGAAGCTAAAAGGAGCAGAACAGGAGCTAAAAGGAGCAGAACAGGAGCTTAAAGGAGCAGAACAGGAGCTAAAAGGAACAAAATGCTACCTAAAAAAGAAAGTTTAATCAAAAGTATGAGAAAGTTAGCTAAAACACAAAATAAACCAAATGGTTACTGAACTTTAAAGGCTTGGTAAAAATTAGAAGTAGCAAAAGATTAAGTTAAAAATAGAAAAATTCTCGTTAAAATTGAAACAAGGTTTGCCAAAAGAGGAAATGTCTAATGTCTAAAAACTAGTTAACGGTTACAACTACAAAAAATGTAGCTAAAGTAAAAGGCAAACTATAAGCTAAAAGTATCAAAAAGTTGGTTGAATTTGGCAAAAGGCTAAAAGTAGCAAAATGTTAGCTAAAAAAGCAATAGGCTAGCTAAAAGCAGCAAAAAATCTTATTAAATCTAAAAGTAGCAAAATACTGAGTGAAAATATCAAAAGACTAGCAAGGTTGACCTAAAAACTAAAAGTATCAAAATGGTAGCTGAAAGCTAGAATTATTAAAGGGCTAGCTAAAGGCTAAAAGTAGCAAATGCTAGCTAAAAATATCAAAAAACTTATTATAGCTAAAATAGCAATGTGATGGTTGAAATTAGCAATAGACTAGCTAGACACTAAAGGTGGCGCAATGGTAGCTGAAAACTAAAATTAGCAAAAGGCTAGCTATAAATCCTAAAGGCAAAGATTACCTAAAAGCTAAACATAGCACAAGTCTTGCTAAAAACCTAAAGTGCCATAAGAGGGTAATTAACAGAGCAACTATTCTAGAGCAGATTTCAAAGAAAACTTAAAAATAAATAACTAATCTTAATGTTTTAAATTGTGAATTTTTAAAAATGTGAAATAAAGGTAAATAATAAAGTTGAATAATAAAGTTAAATAATAAAGTTGAATAATAAAGTTAAATAATAAAGTTGAATAATAAAGTTAATTGCACCAGTCCTGTTTGAAACCAACATTTTGATGTGTGAATGCTGACTCAGCGTTCACACTRTGATAAATAATGGAGGSTGTGTGCGTCCAGTCTGAACTGCACCTCAGGCCTGTGATTGGCTGCCGGAGGGTCTTTCTCTTTTCTTCTCCAGTCGTATTGTACRGTGGGATACTTTAATTTAATCCCTGGTGGTAATCTTCCAGCAAGCTCCACTCATCCCTCCATCCTTTCCAATTCACCCCCGGACCCTTTAATCCTGCTTGTTTTGGTCTCRTTCTGACCCTCATCCCAGACAGAATGAGGTTAAGTATCAGTTCAGTCCAACAACAATACAAGAGGTGTAAAATGAGTTTGGGAGAAAACACTCAATCCGCAAAAAAAGTCATTAATTTGATTTAATGATATCTCTTCCTCCCCAGCATAAGTTTTACTTTTCAGTTTAAAATTAAAACAATTCTAGGAMGTAATAAAGCAGCGAACGAACAGAAATTATTTATTTTTGGACTTGATCCAGTTTTTAATGTTATAACATTTTTTTTATTAATTGTATTTGTCTGGATTTGACTCTATTTTCTGTTTTTATTTATTTAGTTATTAAGAAAGAGGCACATCGGCAACGACATCGTCACCATCGTGTTCCAGGAGCCGGGGGCGCTTCCTTTCACCCCCAAAAACATTCGCTCTCATTTCCAACACGTGTTTGTCATCGTCAAAGTCCACAACCCCTGCACTGAGAACGTCTGCTACAGGTGAGCAGAACAAAAACAGTTTTATTAGTTTTTATTTCTCTGTCCAAATTATAGCTCTGTAAAGAAAAAAAAAAAGGACGGGCAGAGTTGAACCCTGCAATAAGGAGGAAACTAACGTGCTAATGACAATAAAGGAGAACGCGTTTATCGCTCCATGGGCTTTGCGTAAATGTCTTCACGGCAAATGGACTTTTAGAGGTTCAAATTTGAAAGAGCGATAATAATAGTTCCTCCGTGTTCCTCCTGCGCTTTCTGTCATGACTTTATAGAGCTGTGCAGGAATCACAGGGCACTTCTGATCTGTTCGCTGATGATACAGTTATTATCTTCACACACACCTTGAAATTAGGACTTGGAACTTTGTCAGTTTTTTTTTTTTGTTAAAGTCAAGGTAACATCGCTAATAACATAGGGCTTGTTGAACGCTGCAGATTACTCTGATTTCCTCCTCTGAAAAGTCATTTTCTTCAATGCCGTATGATTTAAACATTAAAGCTTTTATAGTCTCGCTCAGGGAAGGGCAACTTAAACCATGGATTTCTTTTTGTTTGAGGGCCACATATTGCTGCACACTTACCCAAATGTAATAACGCTGCCATTTAAACACCGTTTGTGTATATTTATGTTTACAAAACCAACATACATTGCAGTAACTTACAATATTTCATGCTCAAATGCATGTAGAACAGTTGTTCTTTTTGTTGTTGGGGCTGCATATTCGATAACATTGGTTAATATTTTGATGACAATATGACGTGCAATAACAGAACAAATATTTAAGTATAACATTGATTTCTTTCTGCTCTGGATTTAGAGCAAAAAAAAAAACAATTAATACACCATTTCCATTCCAATATGACAGTTTCATTTTAAAAAGACACCTGCTGTATTAGCAGTGAAACAAAAAACAGCATGAAGTACAGTTTCTTAACCCCCCCGGATAAAACATAAAATATTATCTGATGCTCTAAATACAGAAAAACCTTAATTACTGTCAGTTTTTTAAATAAATAATAAAAACATCTTAAAATAAGTAAAATAATTTTCAATGGAAGTTAACAAATCTAAATCCAGTTGAAGTGGTTTTGGTTTACTTTGTTTTTTTTATGCACTATTTGTTGTTTTTATGAATGAAATAAATGAAAATGATTTAATGCGGGATCTCAGGTCCATGTTTGTCAGACTGATGCTGACAAAGTGCATAAATGCAAACATTTGAGCTAACTATTTATTAGAGTTTATGGAATAGAATAGAATAGAATAGAATAGAATAGAATAGAATAGAATAGAATAGAAAAGAATAGAATAGAATAACCTTTATTGTCCCGCGGAGGGGAAATTCAGGTGTCTATGCATTTTTTTTGCGATGTTACACAGGATGTTATCACGATGCTTTAACTCTTGTTTAATAAAGATGAAGACAAAACGTTGGAAACAAACAAAAATAAACACTTGTTTACTTTAGCGAGCTAACGTACAATGACAAAAGATGTATTGAGTGCAGACTTCTGCTTGGTTCTGGTAAAAAGCCTGTTTATATGCTTGCAACTTCAGTAAACTTCTCATATTTAGCTTTGTGCAACGTGTCRTAGCAGCGACTTATATTTAAAATCCTTTATGGCARACAACGATTCTAAGCAGACTAAACACATCAATTTGCCTTGAAATTCTGTGAACAGATAGTCTGCCTCCAAAAAAAAATGGAGGCGGGACCTTATTGGCGTTCCGGACAGAAGTCATCTTGCCCACTAGTCTTCAGTTGTCCATCCCTGGCTTAGTTCCTTTAAGCTCTTCCTAATCATCCCTGCAGTATTTGATGAATGTTTGTTTGTTTGTTTGTTTGTTTAGCGTGGCTGTTTCCAGATCCAAGGACGTCCCTCCGTTTGGACCTCCCATTCCCAAGTCTGTAACCTTCCCAAAGTCTGCAGTTTTCAGGGACTTCCTGCTCGCCAAGGTCATCAACGGCGAGAACGCCGCCCACAAATCGGAGAAGTTCCGGGCCATGGCGACCCGCACGCGGCAGGAGTACCTGAAGGACCTGGCGGAGAACTTCGTGAGCACAGCCACCGTCGACTCGACCGTCAAATTCAGCTTCATCACGCTCGGCGCCAAGAAGAAGGAGAAGGTCAAGCCCCGGAAGGACGCGCACCTGTTAAGTGTCGGCGCCATCACCTGGAGCGTGTGCGCCCGGGACTTCGGCCAGTCCATGGACGTGGACAGCCTGCTCGGCATATCCAACGAGTTCATCGTGCTCATCGAGGAGGAGTCCAAAAACGTGACGTTCAACTGCTCGTGCCGCGACGTCATCGGCTGGACCTCAGGGATTATGAGCATCAAGATCTTCTACGAGCGAGGCGAGTGCATCATGCTGTCCGCCCACGACAACTGCGGAGAAGACATCCGAGAGATGGTGCAAAGACTCGAGGTAATACCCTTAAAGACTCAACTCCAATAATCTCAATATCTTTGAGGTTTTAATGACGGCAGGATTAGACTCTGGAGGTAAACGACCTAATCCTGCAGTTTAAATCTCGAACAGAACATAAAACTGACATTAGTCGGCTTTAAAACTGTGCAACCCTCTCACTGAGAGAGGAAATCGTTTTGCATTTGCTCTCACTGGGGGTAATTGTGAGTTTCATTTCGGTTTGACATCAGGATTATTTGCAGCGTAATGAGCAGATTAGAGTAAAAACAATTAAAGCATTTGCTGCTGATGGAGCGTGTTCTGATGGATGGAGCAGGGTGCCGTCCAGGTTGTGCTAATATTAAACAAAAAGCTGCAGAAATGAGACAAAATCAGAGCATCCAGCTTACTGCATCAATWGGAGAAAAGGCCTTTTGTTCCTTTTATGATAAGAAATGACAAAGTTATAGCTGTTTGTGACAACTTTTTAAAAAGTCATGTTTTGCTCAATCTAATGTTATATTTTAATGACTCTCAGCTGCACTCACATTAAACTTTAGCTAAATATCTATAAAGTTGACTGAGTTATGGCTAATGTTGCTTGATTAAGGCCCTGTCACACTGTAAGGTTTTAGACAACTTGTGAAATTCTTAAAAACATCTTCATTGAAGATGGAATAAAATAAACCAATTGGAACCCGATTAAGTGTGTGCATAGGGTATTGCAAACAAATTGATTAAATTTATAACTTTTATTAGTAATTTAGACGTAAAAGAGGTTTCATAATTTGGCATTTAAGTTGTCTAAAATGTTGTAATGTGATGGGGCTTTTATGGCTTTTAATCTTATTTGCATCCAGTGATTACTTTCTGAGACTTTCATTACTGTCCTCTTTCACAAAATATTATGCTAACGCAACAGACCAAAGAACACACACCGTGGCAGGTGATATGGTTTAAAAATGCATCCGGATATAAGCATTTCATATATTAGGTTCGAACGATATAAAAAAAATCTTGCGATGGTGGTAATATTTGTAARTGAGGGTGATTCAATTTCAGGTGCGAAATGGCTTTTTTAGTAATTTTTTTTCTTCATTTCTAATCTGTGCTTCCTACTCTGTGTGATCTTTAGCATTTTTAACAATGCATTACTAGCTGTGTTTCCATTGCAAATGTGCGCAAAACTTTGTCGATATTCTATTAATGTCGAAAAACACAGTTTCGCAACTGCGGTGTTTCCGTTAAGTAAGAAATGCTATAAAGTCACGCGTGAATACGTTTTTTCTCGCAATAAGTCATTACAAACATGGTGGCGATGGATGTAAACACATAGCATGTTGCTACCGCAACACTAGCCCTCATCATTAGAGGAGACGTCWGCGTCTTATCGAGGCTTTCCGGTGACAAGCCMGTACTTGGGAGCGGCTACGTATGCTGCGTTTTTGGGAAATTGTAGTCGGTGAGTTTACTACTTTCTTTTACTAGTTTTGTGATATTACTACTATTTCTACTTCCTGTTATCTTCTTCGTCGTCGTCTTTTTCGCCAGTAGAAACAGATGGTTGTCGATCACGTGACTGAAAAAAGTGTTTCCATTGCAGTTTTGCGAAACACACCAATTTTGATATGGCTGAAATACCACCTCATCCTAGCGCAAAAACATTTTGTCGAAGAACTTTTTTTTTTCGAAATTGACGTGTTTCCATTGAGCAAATTTATTTTTGAAATTCTGATTTGCGCATTTTCATGGTCAATGGAAACGCAGCTAGTGTCTGGTGTGAGACTCTGTCCTGCTGGCTTTATCAGCATGAAAAGTACAACTTCCAAACTCTTCAAATACTGTATATTAGTCAACAAATACTGCACTCCAAGCAGTCCTTTCAATATGAATATTGCGCACACTGATATCGTRATGACGATTTATTCGCGATATATTGTGCATCTCTAGTCGAAATGGATAATTATATTGATAATTCGATAATTATGATGAGTTTTTTTGTTTTGCCCAACCAAAAATTGTGACTTGACCTTTCCTCTTTTATCCACAATTTCCTCTCGAGCCGTTGCATTATTTTCTCCTTTCACTTCATGTCGTTCTYTTTTATTTCGAAGCAGTTATGAGGCGAAATATGAAATTGCTACTGCTAGMTTAGCAAAGAGTGAGTGAGTTGATGGCACCAAGCTTGATTAGCTGCGCCGTGAGAGGCCGAACGGCTAAAGCCTTTCCTCTACCTACATCCCCCATAATGCAGTGCGGTTCTGAATCGGAGTTCAGAAAAATTATCAACGTTGTATTAATACTGATCACATGTGTATCGCGATATACATCGTTATTTTATTGCCCAGCTTTATCACGATACGATATTATATCGATTTGTTTGGATGACGATACGTTTCTCGAAATCAAGTCTGTGATCGATGTGATGTGATATGAAATAAAGTAATACCGATACTAATACACCAGGTGAAACCCTGGGCATAGGATGACGATCCTGAATCATATATCATTTAATCGATATATCGATGTGCATCAATATATTGTTTCACCTGTAGTTCAAATCATAAATCTGTCATATATAAACTATGTCTTTGTCTCTCAGTGTTTTGCAAATGAAAGGAGCATTTAGTTTTTCTTTTTCTGTTCTCAGCATCACTATGGAAACACAGTAGTTGGCATGACGGTCCTATGGCTGTCAGCCACACATTAACTGGGTGGCACCGCAAGTGGGTTTTCAGACCCTTTTATTTTCCAGTAACGTGTGAAGGATGTTGGCCCACTGCAGCATTTTTTTTACTCGAGCTTTCTTTTTGAATGTTCGTCACGCCAACTTCTAGACAGAAACAGGAAAAAGGCCGTTTGCCAACCAAGTGACCTGGTAAATCTTAATATCACTTTTTGGCTTTGTGGAAAATATCACCACCTTATATTTAAGTGCTTTTACTTTGAAATAACTGTGATCTCTTTGTGGTACAACTGGGTATTTTCAAAATGTTACAACCCTTGTTGCTTTGCTTTGATCATCAGGTCAGAAATGTTCTCGCTCGGTTAACCTTCACCTTCACTGAGGTTCACAACTTCCTTCATCTCAGTCTCTGGACGTTTCCACCAGCAGCTTCTGTAAACAGACTCATTGAGCTTCAGAGAGGATTATTTTCCCTCTGAATATGACTCAGAATACAGAGGTGCGTTCAGGTCGCAGGTTGATGAKGATGAACCATTATGAGGTTTTGTTGCAGGAACAGGAAGTCGGAGGCGGAGCTTCGTTAAATGGAATGAAAGATTAGAAACGATGTCATTTTCAGAGGATATCTGGGAGCAGGTAGAGGATGAGGCAGTTTAAAGAGGACACCAACCCAGTTTTTAAGGGGGAGGAGTGGAAACATGGATACATTTTTGGGTCTGGCRGACTAAGAATAGAAGACATTTGGCCTAATATTCGCTCCAGCTGAGAAATCCCCACAAAGTCATCTTACCCCCAATTCCTTTTACAGCTTTTCCTCAGCCATCTTTATAACTCCACATTCATGTGATCAGCTCCACGTTTATGCAAAACACAGAAATCTTGTTTGCATTTATTGTGTTTTTGCTTTTTTTTTCTTGGCCAAACCTTTAATCTGACCACCGATTGTCTTTTTAATAACATGATTTATTCAGGTTTTTGTGCTTTCTTGCGCTTCTCACAGCCTTGAATGTTTCTTTATTTATTTTTATCAAACTCCAACCAGCAGAACAGCAGTAACAGTTGATTTCCTGCTAAAAACAACGTATTTTACTGTTTTTTTTTTCCATTAATCACGTTTTGCAGTGAATCCACAGCTCGGTGTGTTTAAAGATTCTGCATAACTTAGCTTTGTCTGCTCAACTTATCATAAGAAAGGACACAGTAGTATATATTAGCATTCGTGATTAGCCAAGAAAAATAATTTTCTCGTCTTTTGTGCTAGTCTTCCTCAAATTTTTTAATATATCTGTGTATTCTCAGTGGAAACTCTGAGTAAGTATTAAAATAAAGGCATGGCAGCAGCAGTCTGGTTATGAGTTGATGCTGAGGACTTTGTCCCAAAGGTGTCTGTCCCAAAGTTTGCATGGAATCAGGTTTCTCTGAGTGGATTTACAGGCTGCCGGACTTGTGATGTAATGCGAACCGGCGCGAACAGATTGGTCGCTGCTACACGGAGGGAAACTCAGTGTGAGACGCAGCTAAAAGGCTTTGTGGAAACGTCCTGCTCTCYGGGGTGTTTCCGAGCTGGGTGGCCTCATGTTCTGCTTTTATTAGACAAGTTTTCCTGGCGTGAGGTCCAAAACATGCTGCCATTTTTTTTCTTTTGTTTTGTTTTCTGCACTAAATGGACAAYCTGTTCTGTTTTTTGTGTGCTGAGGAATCACAAACCTGGTCGTGGAACACTGGACCAGCTCTACACCCTCAGCAGGGTCCTGGAGGGTACATGGGAGTTCGCCCAACCGGTCTACATGTGTTTTGTGGACTTGGAGAAGGCGTTCGACCGTGTCCCAATGGGGGCCTTGTGGGGGGTTCTCTGGGAGTGTGGGGTACCGGGCCCTTTGATACGGGCTGTCAGGTCCTTGTACGACCGGTGTCAGAGTCTGGTCCGCATTGCCAGCAGTAAGTCGGGCTCGTTTCCGGTGAGAGTTGGACTCCGCCAAGGCTGCCCTTTGTCACTGATTCTGTTCATTACTTTCATGGACAGAATTTCTAGGCGCAGCCGAGGTGTTGAGGGGATCCGTTGTAGTGGCCTTAGGATCGCATCTCTGCTTTTTGCGGATGATGTGGTCCTGTTGGCTTCATTGGAACGAGATCTGCAGCTCTCGCTGGAGCGGTTCGCGGCCGAGTGCGAAGCGGCCGGGATGAGGCTCAGTGCCTCCAAATCHGAGGCCATGGTCTTGAGCCGGAAAAGGGYAGAGTGCCTTCTCCGKGTCAGGGGGGTCGHCCYGYCTCAAGTGGAGGAGTTTAAGTATCTGGGGATCTTGTTCACGAATGGGGGAAGAAGGGAGCGGGAGGTCGACAGGCGGATTGGCGCAGCGTCTGCTGTAAAGCGGGCGCTGTACCGGTCCATCGTGGTGAAGAGAGAGCTGAGTCAGAAAGCGAAGCTCTCGATTTACCGGTCGATCTACGTTCCTACCCTCATCTATGGTCATGAGCTTTGGGTCATGACCGAAAGAACGAGGTCCCGGATACAAGCGGCCGAAATGGGTTTCCTCCGCAGGGTGGCTGGGCTCTCCCTTAGAGATAGGGTGAGAAGCTCGGTCATCMGGGAGGGACTCAGAGTAGAGCCGCTGCTCCTCCACGTCAAGAGGAGCCAGTTGAGGTGGCTCGGGCATCTGGTAAGGATGCCTCCTGGACACCTCCCTGGTGAGGTGTTCCAGGCATGTCCCACCRGGAGGAGGCCCCGAGGAAGACCCAGGACAYGCTGGAGGGACTATGTCTCTCGGCTGGCCTGGGAACGCCTTGGAGTTCCCCCGGAGGAGCTGGAAGAAGTGGCTGGGGAGAGGGAGGTCTGGGCCTCCCTTCTGAAGCTGCTGCCCCCGCGACCCGACCCCGGATAGGCGGAAGAAGATGGATGGATGGATGGATGGATGGATGGATGGATGGATGGATGGATGGATGGAATCACAAACCTGCCTGACCACAACTAGGGCTGTGTGTTGTGAAGAATTTGGTGATATGATACATATCATGATATATCAGGAAATATCACAATGCGATACWGTAAGCAAGGCGATGCATCACCATTGTTTCCCCAAAAGATTTGAATTTGTAAAAACTCAGTATAAAGAGCACACAATGCAATTTATTTTTATTTTTATTTTAACTACATTTGTATTTCACATTTCTTCTTACAACATCCGTCCATTAAGCCTTAATTATAAACTGGTACAGTGCTTTTGAAAATGAATGCAGTATCAGGAAATTAAATATTTCACCGTATCAGTATTTTTACAGCCCTAACATCAACAAGAGAAAATAGTAGTTGCTGTTTTCCAGTGGTGGGCACAGCTAACCAAAAAGTTAGCTTCACTAACTCAAAATCCACTAACTAAAAATATAGYTTTGCTAACACAAAACTGCTAAACATGTAAATTTTWGTAGAAGCTAACGCTAACAACTAATCGCTAGCTGCTAAGAAACTCAATCTGCTAACTAAAAATAAAGCTTCTTTAATACTAAACTGCTAAACGTGTAAAAATCTGCAGAAGCTAACAAACAGATTAATCACCATCTGTGGATTTTATGAGTCACTGCAAACACTAAAAACTTGCGTTCACATTAGTCTCATATGCAACCGTTTAAGTGTGGTTCAGATATTAAAGTGGAGTTCTGTTAAAAGTTATAAACAGTTAGCATCTCACCTGTTGCAGGTAGCACTTTGAATAAGTCCAGAATACAAACAGTTGGTCTGAGTGTTACTGTTCTTAATTTGTTCTTAGAACTTTAACAAATATCTGAAAAAATAACAATAATCTGCCTCGAGGCGTGGAGCAGCCTTTGATCGACTCATTTGCATGGAGTCAACTCCTTTTTTTCTGAGGTTTTGTTGTGATTTAAACATGTTTCTGCTGATTATTGTTCCTGTCAGAGCTGTCTGTCATCCCTCTTCGTGGATCAGTGCCAACATTACTTGGCAACACATTTTTTATGTGCTAATGTTTGACAGTTTTATCATTATAATTGGTTATTAAAGCCCATTATTTGGTTTGGCATGAAAACCTGTTTCAAGTTATCACTTTTAATAAATATATAGTGATTTGGTTTCTGTAATAATTAGTTTGTAGCCATAGATTGAAACATTTGAGTGTTGAAGGAGGAGGAAATGCTGACGTGTTTGTCGTGACACAGTTGTGTCTCGGTTGGCGTGAGGTTGGTTTTCTGCCATGCTGAGGAGTCTTGGAGTGTTGACAATCCATAGCCTGTGTTAATSTTTCTACAGCCAGCTGCCACTCTGAAGCAAATGGAAGCAGTCACCCACAGCTGAACCAAAACTAATCTGATGGCTGATTACAGCTCATTGGATTTAGTTACCTTTCCCCCTGAAAAGTCAGAAAGCTGCAGAGAAACCTCACACACTAACCAAACCCATGAATGTAAACCAATTCACAGTTTTCTCATTGCTTAGAATATACATTTAAATGCAGGAACATTTCTCTAGCAGAAAGCAGTTTCCCTGAACTTTATTTGAACCTGAGCGGCATTAAAGCTAAAGCTAACGCTGAGCAAAAAGGAGCAACTTGATTTACATGACTGAACAAGACTTGACTAATTCCATCCAGCCTGGCACACATTTGGACGAGCTAAAACCATCAAATATTTATGGGCTAAAAGGTCGAGTCTGTAGCAGAGTGCCAAAACTGTGGAAAACGTAGAAGCAAAGTGTTTTTTTACATGCTAGGTTTCCAAATGTTRTTATTAAATACACAGTTGATGAAAGTGTTTGTGTATAAATGTTGTTTCTCTGGAAACTCAGCTCCACACAGACAGACAGGTTCATGCAGCATCCAAAGAGATGCTGTAGTTTGTTCATAGACGTGTGTGTCTGTGTGTGTGGAGAAAGGTGGTGCAAGTAGGGCTGGGTGATACGACTGAAAATCTTCGTAAGCGTTTTATATTGGTCGATATTGATAATTTTAGTTTTAAGCAAAATTGGTCTGACTTTTGTCAAATTTTTATCTAAAATTAGGCCAAACTGGTGATGTGACCTTTCCTCTTATCCACAATTTCATCTCGAGCAGTTGCATCATTTTTTCCTTTCACTCCCGCTGTTCTTTTTTTATTTTTAGGCAGTTATGAGGCACTTTGTGAAACCTGAAATTGTTACTGCGAAACCTGAAATTGTTACTGCGCATGATACTGCATTATTTTTGCTAGCTTACCTTGTTTAGCCACTGGGGCGTCACATTGCTGGGTTACAGATGACGGCGCCAGGAAGTAAATGCAGCCCCGTTTCCTTCTGTTGATTCAGCTTCTGTGCCGTGTTCGACAACGTTTCTCTAGAAAACATTGCCATTTTTGTCCTAGAGGTTTCACAACAAAATTTAAGTTTTATCTTTTATAACATGAAGTTATTCGTCAAAATAAAAGCTTCGTTAAACACGTTATAGAACATGTTGATTTAGGACAAACAGTGGGACACGTACATTGTGATGATGATTCTCTGACGATATCGTTCAGCTCTAATCCTGATTTAAATTTGAAAAGATTCTTCAAGTTAGCTGAACAAACACGTGGTTCTTCTGCTTAAAAAAACCACTGCTCCAGCTGTGTTTCTGTTTTGTTTTCCTTGTTTTTGGATGCATGTTGTTGGATTTTTGTACAATAATCCATGCGTATTTCATTTTATGCAGATGATTAATGCGTCTATCTCGGTTCTGATCCCAGATCGCCACCAGAGGCTGCGAGACGACCGAGATGACCCTGCGCCGGAACAGCCTCGGGCAGCTCGGCTTCCACGTCAACTTCGAGGGCATCGTGGCCGACGTGGAGCCCTTCGGCTTCGCCTGGAAGGCGGGGCTGAGGCAGGGCAGCCGGCTGGTGGAGATCTGCAAGGTGGCCGTYGCCACGCTCACCCACGAGCAGATGATCGACCTGCTGCGGACCTCCGTCACCGTGAAGGTGGTCATCATCCAGCCTCACGAAGACGGCACTCCTCGAAGGTAAAAGCCCACCTGCTGTCAGACAGCACAGACCAGATGTAGTCTTGGAAATGGGTTGTTGGTGAAACGTGTTCTGCTTATTTCTTTCCTAACTTTTTCTGCACTTTTTGATAAAAAGTTTGACATTTCCTCTCATTTAAAAAAAGAGCTTTAATAAGTGCTTGCAGTACATACTGTACTGCTTGTTGATGCTGTTCTTTATCATTTCTGTACAGAGAGGTGTCTTTGTGAGCACAAACAGAGCCGCAGAGACACGAACAGTCAGCATTTCTCTCTAACGATAATGAGATGAGCCGTTTGATTAATGGCTCAAATCTCGCCGCCGTTGTTTGACAGCTCACATTTGTAAATTGCTTTTTTCTAACCTAGAATAACGTCCCTTTTCAGCAATTAGGATGCAAGTGTTTGCCTTTTTTTCCTCTYTTTATGGGGACACACTCCCTCGGGAGCGAGAGTCCATCGCTCTCACTCAGAAAAAGAGAGAGAGGCATATTTCAAACGGGCTTTTGTGATGAGAGGTTTTGAAGGTTTGTGTTAAAACGCTTGTTCTGAGAAGCACATCTGCTTGTTTTGTCTACGAGAGACAGACCGTGCTGTGAAATCGCATCCATCCGCTCTTTCACACTCGGATTTTCGACATCTTTGTTTTGCGTCTGCTTCGGGCCGACAGATTTGTGTACCAGAAAATGCTGGTTCCGCTCTGCCACAACAAAAGAGACGATTTGAAGAATAGCTCCACAATATGTGTTAATTGTGATTTTCTTTGGTAATCAGCTTTAAGTGKTCCTCAAAGATAAATTCTGATTTTTAGATTACATCACTGAAAAGAAGAGGTGWTAAAATTTTATTTTTTAATGAAACATATTAAGGGTTTTCCACTTAATGTCAAAGACTTTGCTTTAAGCAACCGTTTAACCRCCCTCCTACTTTATTTTCCCGCCTGGCAACACAGAAGTAAGATATTTGCTCTCCCAGATGGTGGGCTAACATGCTTCGTCTGGGACTCTAACAGGAAAGCATCTCTGGCAGAACCGCCGTCTAATCCTCTTACCACAATCAGCAATGATACACGATGATACAATCATAATCGCAGTTCAGGGAAGGAGGAAGCAAGCAAAACAAAACATCATCCCAAACCGGTTCTGTGTGGCCAAATGTCGGCCCGGCTTGCTGGAAGCTGTGGTCACAGAGCAGAGGATTTGGTAAAAGAGGCTGTTGACATGAAGTCTGAGCCAGGAAGAGATTTTTGTCTTGGTTGGACTCACACCACTGATGTTGGACACGCCTGAAGAAACGGATTTATGGATGGGTTTCCTCAGAAAGTGGCTCTTAGATTTAGACTTTAGGGGCTGCAGGTGAAAATTAGCAGAGACTAACTCAGGCACATTCATTTTCATTTCCTTTTAATGTTAATAAAAATGATGATTAAAATAAATAAACTATGAAAAAATGTACATTATGTTTGTAACTAGAAGAATAGCATGTTCTGAAATGTAAATGTAGCAAATAGCTACCAAAAGCAAAGTAGCGAAAGGCTAGTTAAAATATGTAGTAGCAAAAAGCTAGCTAAAAATTAAATGAGAAAAAAGCTTGCTAAACGGGTTAAATGAGCTAAATGCTAGTTAAAACTAGCAATAATTTAGCCAAAAGCTTAAAGTAACTAACGTATAAAAGGCTAGCTAAAAACTAAAGTAGTAGTAGTCCAGCTAAATTATCAAAAAGCTAGCTAAAAGCCAAATGTAGCAAAAGTCTTGCTAAAAAGGTTAAAGAAGCTAAATGCTAGCTAAAATGACAATCATTTAGCTAAAAGCATAAAGTAGCTAGCTAAAATTAACAAAAGGCTAACTAAAATTAAGTAGAATAATCTAGCTAAATTAACAAAAGGCTAACTAAAACTAAAGTAAAATAATCTAGCTAAATTAACAAAAGGCTAACTAAAATTAAGTAGAATAATCTAGCTAAATTAACAAAAGGCTAACTAAAACTAAAGTAGAATAATCTAGCTAAATTAACAAAAGGCTAACTAAAACTAAAGTAGAATAATCTAGCTAAATTAACAAAAGGCTAACTAAAACTAAAGTAGAATAATCTAGCTAAATTAACAAAAGTCTAACTAAAACTAAAGTAGAATAATCTAGCTAAATTAACAAAAGGCTAACTAAAACTAAAGTAGAATAATCTAGCTAAATTAACAAAAGGCTAACTAAAACTAAAGTAGAATAATCTAGCTAAATTAACAAAAGTCTAGCTAAAAGCCAAATGTATCAAAAAGCTATCTAAAAACTAAAGCAAGAAAAGGAGTGGCTAGAAGCTAGAAACATCAAGAGGCTAACTAGGATGTAAAATTAACAAAAGGCTTGTTAAAAGTAGCATTGAATAGCTAAAAGCCTAAAATAGCTATTTATAATTAACAAAAGGCTAGCTTAAACTAAAGTAGCAAATGATTAGCTAAAAACTAAAAGTGATGGAAATCTAGCTAATATAGCAAATATTTTGTGAAACCTAAAGTAGCAAAAGGCTAAATGTAGCAAAAAGCTCGCAAAAAAAGTAAAATAAGCAAAATACTAGCAAAATTACCAAAAGGCTATCTAAACTCTAAAGTAGCAAAAGGCTA